CTAGTGGCTTGTCTGTGTGGCTTGTCTGTGTGGCTTGGCTTCCTCATAGCATGACATCCTCAGGGGAGTTGAACGCTTTACCTGGTGGTTTAGGGATCTGAGGGGAAGAGAGCTACATCGCTTCACGATCTAACCTTGGAGTCAAGCCATCAGTTTCCTCACATCTTGTAAGTCAGGGGTTCCAAACCCCCAGGCCATGGTAGTCGGTGGCCTGTTAGGAACCTGGCCACACAGCAGGAGGTGAGCGGTGGGCAAGCCCGCGAAGCTTCATGCCCATTGCTTGCAATACTGCCTGAGCTTCATCATCTGTCAGATTAGCTGTGGCATTAGATTCTCACAGAAGCACGAACCCTATTGTGAACTGCACATGCAAGGGATCTAGGGTGTGCAATCCTTGTGAGAATCTCATGCCTGATGATCTGAGGTGGAGCTGAGGCGGTGATGCTAGCGCTGGGGAGCAGCTGTCAATACAGGTGAACATCAGCTGCGAGACCATAATAAATCTATTCTAGGAAAGGGTACAGACTTTAATAAATCAATTTAAAAAATAAACCAATAGAGACCATAGTAAATCAATTGCTTACAGACTCATATCAAGATAATAATTTCATAATAATTATTTCATTATATGTTGCAATGTAATAATAATAGAAATAATGTACACAATACATGTAATGCGCTTGAATCACACCAAAACCTTTCCCCTCCTCCCCTGGTCCGTGGAAAAATTGTCTTCCGTGAAACCAGTCCCTGATGCCAAAAAGGTTGGGGACTGCTGCTGTAAGTTACGAGACAATCACAACTCACCAGATTCAAGAAGAGGGGAGGTGGTTTCCACCTTCTGATAGGGGAGTAGTGAGTGCTGGAAGAGATAGACAGGAGATACTGGTGCAACCATTTTTTGGAAAAATAAAATCTTCCACAATTCCTCAAGTTTCTCCTGTGCATGAGTAGGTGTTGTGCTGGGTACAGGAATCATGATAAATTCCATTTCTTAAAATCACCATCAAATAAAGGGAAACAAACACTCAAGTCATGATTGAAAACACCCTTTTCAGGAGAGAATTTCCATTTTGATCAGGGGTTAATGAAAACTAAATCTTCCACTTGCAATTTCATGTGTCTGATTGGATGAATTTTCCACAGACTGGTTTCTGACTCAGGATACTGCTTACATGGTTCTCTTCCTCTGTTCAATTCTCCTGGCACCAAAGAACACATCCATATCACAGTGCAACCACTGGCCTTATATATCTTTTGTCACAATACCATAGTCAGCACAGTGGGTGGTAGAGTATTTTTGGAAACCATTCTCAAACCACATGTCTGGCAATAACTTCGCAGTACATGAAACTGACTGCAAACCACAAAAATATGTCTCACTAGACTGAAATTAAATGGATCTCTAACTCAACTTGCCTTTAACTAGATCCTAAAAATATCCACAGCCACATCAATGCTAACAGAGACAGGAATGGGAAGACAACAGTCTTTACCAGTTACGGATAATAACGGTTTACTTTTGTGAATTTTACTAAAACACGGTTGCAAGAACCTATTGCCAGGGCTCCTCTGGGAGCCTTGAAAGGACCTTGCAGGAGGAAGACTTAGCTTGAGTATCATTAGCTTCACAATAAACCCACCTTTGCCCGAAGCGTAGTAAGTATGGTATTGTTGTTAACTATTATTGACTCCATTTTCCTGACAGATGGGCCTCTTGTGGGAGCAAGATGGATACATCCAGCAGTCCCAGTTTCATATTCTCCAAAGTTCTGGCCCAGCAGGAAAAACAAAGTGTCTCTCCCAGAACTTCACACACCAGTATTTACTGTGACTTCACCAGCTGGGGTCATGAGACCAATGAATCAAACACCTGGCCAGGGGGATTCCATGAACAGATTGACCATGAACAGACTGACCAGCCTTGGGCCACATACGGCATTCTTGCAGCTGGAGGTGGAGTCAACACCACCCCAACCATGAAGCAGAGAGTAGGGGGGGTTGGTTCCCAGGGGAATTTGGGAAAATTAAAGGTGCTTTAAGTGCCAAATGAACAAATGGATTATTATTATTTTTTTGCCATGAATGTAGAGTAAACAGAAGAGACCATGGTAGGAAGAAAGACCAGAAAGGGAGAAGGGTTGATGGAATGAGAAGTATGGGTACCCAAGACCTCCTCCAGCTTGGTGACCTGGGTCAGCTCTGCTCTGATGAGCCCTACAAGCATGTTCCTCTCTTGAGGATCCTTCCAGTCTGGGGGAGCAGCCTGTGGCCTCAGCCCAGCCAAGCTGTGCCTGCCAGACCTGTTCTAGGCTGACCTCCTCCAGATGTCCTCTGACTGTTTTCTGTCTTCTTGTCCTTACCTTTGTTGGTCCTTCCTGGCCTACTCCCAATTCACAGCCCTTGTGGGGCCAGGGAGGGGAGCTCTTCAGGACTTCTGCCTGGGGCTGACCACTGTGCCCCCCTGCTCCTGGTCCCTCCCCTACTTGAGAACCTTGGGTCTCAACCAAAGAAAACCCCAAGTCTTGGCAAACAATTCATGGAAACTGCTAGTGGAAGGTCCTAAATATGTCCTCTCTCCTTGTGAGAGTCCTGTGGCCCGCCCATACTGGGGGTAGCCAAGTTTGACACATTGAACGGTGGCTTTCAATCTTTTTACAGTCTTAAAAAAACTCTTTGGGGAATCTGAGGGAAGCTGTAGACCTGAGCTCTCTGGTGAGGTCTCCTCTAGCCACACGTGGTCACTGGACACTTGGAATGTGTTTGGTCTGAACTGAGATGTGCTATAAGTGTAAAACACACCATGGATTTTGTGGACTTAGTATGAGAAAAGTAAAATATCTCTTTAATCATATTATATGTAGGTTACATGTTGAATTGACAATACCTTGGATTATTGGGTTAAACAAAATACATTATGAAAGTCAACTTCACCTGTGTCTTTTTACTACTCTTACTGTGGTCACTAGGAAATTTAGGATTGGCATTTGTGGCTCCTATGATATTCCTATTGGAAAATGCTGCTCTGGAACCTTTTTCTAGAAACATTCACACACGCATACATATCCACCTAATTTTGGATATCATTTCAGGGATGGCTAGAAGTACACTAAATCCCATCCACGGACCCTAGCACCAAATTAAGAAATCTCTGAAGCAGAAATTTCATCGTTTTTTCCAGGCCCTGCCTCTACTGTACAGATGGGGAAACTGAGCACCAAGCCCTCCTCTCAACATAGGCAGCTGTCCTCTATAGGGGCGTGGGATGCCCACTATCCCATACTGGAATAGGGGGCTGGGGCTGGGGCTGGAGCCACCTCATGGAGTGAGCTGTGGCTCTGCCTGTCTGGACACCCATAAGTGTTCCAGGCCGCCCTCCCCCATCAGTTCAGGGAGAAGTGTTAATTTGCTCCCCTGGGGGATTTATTTCATCAGGGTTCCTAAGGTCCTGGGATTACTCTGGGATGAGCCTAAACTGTGGAGGCTACCAATGACCAAGGAAGTCCTGGTGGTTGGGCTTCAGGCCAGGCTGAGCCAGGTCTGAGGGGGTCGGGGAGTGGATTTTAAGTCCAGAGAGTAGAACCCCTGGCTTGTCACTCACAGACTGGGTGACTTTCTACATTTCTTCGTCTATGACCCACTTGGAATAAATTGTTCTTTTTAGTTTTCTTCATTTTACATATACTTTTTCATTAGATTTTACATTCGATTCATGTAAATTAGAAGGATTTCCCATTCAATCAATTTTCACTTGTTCATAGATGATTATATTTCTGTTTTGCCTGATTCTGCAATAATACATTTCGGATCCATTTGTAGTAATTTAACATTAATTCGGTTTCATTTGCCTCGAAAAACAAATCATTAGTCTTCAATTATATATTGAATTGGCAGTAAGATGACTGAATTCATGTCATTTTAATGCTCATGTGCACACTAAATACTTTAAACAGATGACTTCACAAGGTTTTCTTTTACAATTTTCATAACCTGAGCGTTTCCTGATTGGTCTCTTTTTTTTTTTTTTTTTTTGAGTTGGAGTCTCACTCTGTTGCCCAGACTGGAGTGCAGTGGCCGCTTCCGGCCACCACAGCCTCAACCTGCTGGGCTCCGGCGATCCTTCCGCCTCAGCCTTCCCAGTAGCCGGAATTACAGGCATGCGCTACCACGCCCAGCTGATTTTTTGATTTATTGTAGAAATGAGGTCTCGCTGCCCAGGTGGGTCTCGAACCCGCGGGCTCAGGCAATCCACTCACCTCAGCCTCCCGAAGGTGCGGGATTACAGGCTGAGCCACCGAGCCCGGCTGGTCTCTTTTACCTCTATTACAAAGTCTAATAGAATCCCCTGAGCTCTTGGGACCAGCCAAACCAGAGGCGAGGGGCTTATAACCAGAGGTGTCCATACCCCTCCGCAGCTCTCTGGAGTTTGCTCTTGGGCAGGTGAGGAGGAAGTGCTGGCCCAGGGCCTGCCCCACAACTGCTCATATCATCATCGCCTGGACTCCTACCTACATGGAGCTGCCCAGGTCTGGCCTCTTGTCTGGTCCCAAGTGCTCAGACCCCACTCCCAAAGGCAGGTGTGGCTCAGGCAGGCTGAGCTACAGGGGCTTCCTTTGCTCTGCCCCCCGCCCCACCCTCTGCCCTCAGCCTCAGAGGAGTCAGTTTCCCGCCACCGCTCCTGGGACTTGTCTGCCTCCTCCTGACTGCCTGTTCTGTGCTGACACTCCAGGTCTGGAGGAGGTGCTCAACCTGCGGGCCCTGGAGCCTGGCCAGAGATTTCTGGAGATGCTGGTTGACCCAGCCTCTTGGGGAAGAAGAGAAGGTGCTGGGTTGAAGGAACAATCTGGAGGGTGGAGCCCCAACCTGTTTATAGGATCGTAGCTGCTGGGAGGTTGGCAGGTTCGTGCTGGTCCCGACCCATTGGGATAGTCGCTGCCACCCAGCCAGAGAGCCGGCGTCTTGGCAAGGACGGGGCCTGGAGTGGAGCCGAAAGTGTTGGCATGGAGGGCCTGTCAACTAGGGGACCACCTGGCCATCCTCACCAGGTAACGGTGTCTGCTGGGCCCATGGGACCAGGGCGCACTCTGAGAAGCATGACAAGTTGAAATCAGGGGGACTCTGGTCTCTGCCTAGACTGGGGTGGAGGGTGAGGGAGTCTGGGGATCAGAGTAGGTGGGATGGGTGAGCAGCACCCTAGAAGCAAGGCCTGGGAAACATGAGTCTGGTCAGCAGAGCCTCCCCCGCCATGAGTGATCAGCAGCAGTGCCCCAGGGATCCTTCCCCTCCTCCTCCCACATCAGAGAACACAGTGGCCCCTGGCTGCCTGTTCTGTTCTGACACTCCAGATCTGGAGGAGGTGCTCCACCTGCAGGCCCGTGGACTTCCTGGAGCTGGCTGGAGTCCTAGAATCACCCTGTGTGTCTCAGGGACTCTGTGAGCCCAAATCCCACCCACTGCCAGTTATTTACTGGCCCAAGAGCTATGAAGCTGCACCCAGACCAAGGAGACCTGCAGACTGCTCAACTCCATCTCTGCCGGGTGTTTCCCCTCTGCCCAAACTTCTCTTCTTTTGCCAGGGACCAAGGACAGCAGGGTTGGCTCCTCAGACATCCTTGGTGTCTCAGGTGGTAGCCAGGAGGGGGGCTACGTGTGCCAAGGTCACTGTCTCGAGGTCCTTTGCCTTATTTGCAGACTTGTTGGACTTCTAGAGCCTTGGCCCTGAGACCTAGGTCTCACTTGGATCTAGAAAAATAGCTCCAGATTGGTACTCCTGGAAAGGACGTGGCCTATGGCAGGTCAGACACCTGGAAATATGCTGTCAGGAGGACCCATCCACAAGCCAGACATCAGGAGAAACTTGGGTCTGAGGGGATCCCGAGGCTGTAGAGTTGTGGAGGGTCTGGCAGCCTTGGCTCCATCACCCCCTCCCATCAGAAGCCCTGAGCCCAGAACTACTCACCGGCGGGGGGGGGGGGTCTGAAATATTCTCCCTTCAAGCTCCTGGCAAAGGCTGTGCACCCATCCCCTTCCTTTCTCAGCCTGCTCTGGTCCACCTCAAGGGTACAACAAATGCCCAAGTTTCAGTGATCTGGCAGCTGAGTCTGCCCCACACCCGGGAAGTGCCTTGCCCCAGGCTGGTGTTCCCAGGACTGAGTCGACCCCCAGTCTTCAAGTTGGTTCTTGTGGCAGGAGAGCCTCAGCAGCAGCCTCACCCAGCCTCCTTCCTGCTGGAACAGGGGGCCTGGAACCTGCCCTGGAGCAGGAGCTGGGCTGGTAGGGCAGGCTGGGTGTCCAGGACCTGTTCTGGGACGTGCCTGCTATGTGGTCTAGAGTATCAGCTCAGCCTGACTCAGGGACACTCAGGGCCTGAGGCTGTGCCCCGGCTTCCACTTCTCCTCTCTCAAGCCTTCCCCGCTGCCCCTCTATGAGTCACCAGGTCCCAGCGGGGGAAAGGGCACATTTGCTCATTTCTCTCTTCCTGCCAAAGACCCAGGATCATGGTCACAGATACTTTGGACCCCAGTCTGGGGGGCTTGGCACCCCTAGGCTCCTTTAGGCCACATCATTTGAGATGGGCAGGAGCCAGCTCTGAGCCTCTCCAGAAACTCCCGGGCAAACGTGGGCTCCAGGCCTCTCTACAAGGAGAAGGAAGGCAGAGGCTCCAAGGTCCCTGGGCAGGACTCAGAGAGAGAGTGGCTGAGACCCTCAACAGGAGGCACTTATAGGCTCCTACAGGCAGCTGGGCTGAAGAACCCCCTCTCGAAGCATTCTGGGTCAGTCATCAAGCAAAACTCTTTCAAAAGGGAAGAGGAAGCCCCACTGCCCTCAACAGAAAAGACTCTGCTAGTTAATATGCTAGTTAGCATGAATATCATACATGTCTGAATATCCACGGGACAGTGGGGGAAAAGTTGCATGCTTTTACAAAGAAGTGGAGTCCTAGGAAGGTAGAACCGCACAGAAGTTGTGAGCTCTGGCCTTGAAGTTTGAGTTCTAGCTCTGTCACTGCTCACACTGTGACCTTGGGCAAGTAAACATTCCTGAGCCTGGATTCCCTCATCTGCAGAACGGGAAGAAACCAGAGTACTACCTTAGGGGGCTGTGGGAGGGTGAGTCAAGTCAGAATGAGCAGCATGCTCGGTACAGTACTGGTAACATAAAAAAAAAAAAGACCCAGAGGCAATTCTCTTTAAACATATTGAGTTTACTCCGGAATGAGAGAGGATTATAACTTGAATGCACAGAATGGCCAGCACCAATGCATCCGGTGAGAGAAGGGTAAAGGGAAGATTTTATTAGCAAAAGGGAAAATTCTCATGAGCTGCTTAGAAGAGACTTTGTTTCAGAGGCTCAAAGCCAGATTTGTTGTCAGTTCACTGGTGGAGATGTCATTTCTGGGCAAGAGTTTTGTTGGTTTGTTTTATTTTCTTTTTGAGAGTATTTTCTCCAAAGTACTGCAGTCCCAAAGGATGTCTAGTGATAAATCTCATCAAAGCAGGAGATATGAGAAGGGTTTTCTGTGGAGTTTTTAGAAAGTCCTTGGAAAGCCAGGCACAGTGGCTCATGTACTTTTGGAGGCCAAGGCAGGAGGGTTGCTTAAGCCCAGGAGTTTGAGACCAGCCTGGGTAAGACCCTGTCTCTATTTATACACACACAAAAAAAGAAAGAAAGAGAAAAAGTCCGTGGAAACTGTTCTTATCTCAGACATGTAAACATGAAACTCCTTTCCTTCATGCATCTGGGTTCTATTTTTTCTGGGTCTGACAAAAGTGATTTCTTCCTGGTATCTGCAACAATCACAGCACCTAGAAATGCAACAAGCACACCATACAGACTCATAAGAGCAATTGCCCAGAAACTGCTTACTTTTGTCCTAAGCATTCTGCAAGAATGAACAATTTTAGCCTCAGAACACTCTGTGAGGTCAGTTTTATTATGATTTCCATTATTGGTGAGGAAACAGAGGCACAGAGAAGTTTGGTAACTTCTCCAGACTCACACAGCAAGTAAATGGCAGGACCAGAGTTTAAATCCAGACAGCCTGGCCCCAGGTCTGCCTTTAACCCCCAGTCGTTGTAACTCTTGTCACAGTCATGCCATACTCTGGGTGCTCTACATTAGCGATGGCCTTAGGCAATTGGGGCTTTACCCTAGGAAAGACACTGGCCAGGGAATGCAGGTTGAGAAGCTCTCGGTGACAGGAGGGAGAAATGAACAACATTGCTGAGACTGGGTACAGTGACTGGCTAGGAAGTAACTAGGGACACTTCTTAGTAGCCCCAAGTGGCTTTAGAGCAGCTATGGACCTGGGGGGCCGCGACATGGCCCGAGGAGTGGGACAGTGAGGCGGCGCAGCCTCTGCCCTTCCCCTGACTCAGAGTGGGGGGCACCCCAGTCATGGCTTCCCTGTGGCATGCAGTGGCAAAGGTTATGGGGGTAGGGGAGCATAAAGCCAGTTGTCTAAAAGCTTGTTAAATCTCTGCCAGCTACAACCTCTGGCTTAAGGCCTACAGGGCTGAATGCTGCTGGTGTCGTGGAGTTAACCCCCAAGAAGAGAGAACAAGTCTGCCTTGCTCGGGAGATCATGTATACGCCACCAGGAAGCTGACGAATTGACAGGGACGCTCAGCATGGAGTCACAGGAGGGCGAGATGCCGGGTGGGGTTGCGAGTCATCAGTGGCTTTGCTGTGGCCCATCGTCGCTTATGATTCTTTGTGGGGAGTGGGGAGTCAGGTGAACACTGACCCACCCCCCAACAGGCAGCATCTGTGTGGGGTAGAGACCAGCCCTGGGGGGCACTGAGACCTGACCACGTGCATGGAGGTGGGTGTGGTCGTGGGAGGTTGCAAAGTAGGAAACAGCTTTGGTGTCATCGTACCACTGTCCCCAACCACACGATGTCAAATGTCCACCTGTGAGCACTGTGCTGCCTCTGGCTCCCTCAGCGTGGAGGGGAGATAAGGGTCTGACGAAACTGTACTTACTTGGTGTGGGTCTAACCTGGTAGCAGAGCCCGTTGAGTGGCTGAAGCCCCAGCACAGGTGTTTTCTGGTATGGGGATGGATGGGTTCTTCACCAGGGCTGCCATACTGCATGTCTCCAGGGTTAGCATTGCATACGTCTTCATGGGAGTGGCGCCCCTTAGGGCCCTGCCACCCTGTGGCTCTGCAGAGTCCCCTCCTATCTGGGGGCTCCCACTGCGCCAGACCCCCAGGTACAGGCAGTGACCCTCCTTGCTAGAACACATTCTACTGGCCTTCCAGCACAAACTCTTCAAGCTGGAGCCACATGCCCCATAGATGCTTCTCCAAGGCAGGCTCCTTTCAAGATGATGTGAGACCTTGGCTGGGCGCAGTGGCTCAAGTTTATACTCCCGGTACTTTGGGAGGCTGAAGCGAGAGGATTGCCTGAGTCCAGGGGTTCAAGACCAGCCTCATTTCTACAATGTGATAAAAAAAAATTAACTGGGCATGGTGGCTACTTGGAAGGCTGAGATGGAAGGGTCGTCTGAGCCCAGCAGGTTGACGCTGAGGTGGCTGTGAGCGTGCCACTGCACTCCAGCCTGGGTGATGGAGTGAGACTTCAACTCCAAAAAAAAAAAAGATGATGTGAGCCCAGTGACCTCCAGGCTGGAGTGCAGTAGCACACTCACATCCACCCCACTGTAGACCTGCTAGGCTCAGGCAATCCTTCCGCCTCAGCCTTCCAAATAGCCAGAACTACAGGCGAGAGCTACCATGCCCGACTAATTTTTTATTTATCATAGAGACAAGGTCTCGCCAAGTTGCCCAGGCTGGTCTCGAATCCATGGGCTCAGACAATCTACTCGCCTCAGCCTCCCAAATTGCTGGGATGACAGGCTGAGCCCAGCCCACAGACGTTCTCTTATAAGAAACCTCAGAGTGCCCAGAAAAGGCCACACAGTCGGGTCCAGGAAGAACAGAAAGTTCAGACCTCAGCAGTGGGGCTTGGGGACGCCCCCTCCCAAGTGCCCTGTCCCCGACAGGACTCAGCCACACCCCACCTGCCCTCTGCTTTTCCTCCCGTCGCCCACTCTCTGCTCGGTACCTCTGCCCCTTCGAGCTTCTGCCCACTCAGCTTCTTCCCCCTCATCACCTGGGCTTGCCTGTGGCCTGATGTGGCCTCACTGGCATCTTAGTACACAGCGGCCTTTCACCCACGGTGCCCCCTGCTCCCTGTAAAGGCTTGATGCTCTCAGGGTTTCCTGATTCACACCCAGGGAGTACAGGTGGGCTCCAGTGAAGTGCCTTTGGATCTCACAGACCACTGAGCTCCCCGGGGCTCAGCCTCCTTTAACTCATGTACTCACTTCCTGTCCAAAAGTGCTGGGGTAGGGTGCTGGGCAGCAGGGCTACAAGCTTTGCCAAAGGGCTGCCCTCCCTGGGAGCTCTGGATGTGGCCGACATCAAACTGACCAATGTGGTGGCTCCTTGACCCTCAGCTCCCTGCTTTGTCCATTTTACTGTGGAATCCTGTCCCTGAAAGGGAGGGGGTCCCACAAACTCCACCCCAAGGAGGCCTGCCATACCCTGACTGCTGCAACCAAAAGTCATGACCCCCAGGATTGTGGTGGACAAAGGATGTTTGGCCCTCAGAGGACATCCCCCAGTGTGTCAGCACCGCCAAGTATCGGGATATCTGTGAAGGTGCCTGCAGCCAGGGAATGCAGCACAGCGGCTTCGGGTTTGGGAGAGGGAATTAGTGGGAGGGACTTAGTATTTTATTTATTTCCAGAGGGAGACCTCGGCCTGCTGGCGGCTCACCGTGAAGGTTCTGGAGGCACGGAACCTGCGCCGGGCTGACCTGTGTGAGTAACTGTCTTCCAGGTTTGTGAGTGTGTGGAGGGAGGATCAGGATTCCATGGGAAAGGCCCAGACGAATGCCCTGGGCTGCTCTGAGCTGCCCATGGTGGCCACTGGGGTCTTGGTGGGACACTGGTGCAGTCCCCGGAGAGAGGGGTGTGGGGAGTGCTGTCTCACAACATTTCCTGGACCTTGACAGTGAGTGAAGCAGACCCATACGTGACCCTCCAGCTGCCAACAGCACCGGGAATGAAGTTTAAGACCAAAACGGTCGTCAACTCCAGTCATCCTGTATGGAACGAGACCTTCAGTTTCCTAATCCAGACTCGGGTCAAGGTAAGGTCAAGGGTGCCCTTGGCCACTCCCCCGTGAATAGGCTGTACCCCCACAGGGAAGGCTCTTGAGGTGGCACTCTGCCTCCAGGGCTGAGTCAGAGAAGCCCTCGGGAGGAGGGTGTCTTTTTGCCCTGGCCTGTATGTGCTGTGTGGGAGAGAACGTGAACAAATGAACATGGTCCTTCCACCACCGGCTGTGGGACATGACCTCCCACAAGTTGCTGTTTCTTCCTAGGCCCATCTGTTCAACAGACACAGTAAGAATCCATTCCTGATTGGGTCATTGGGGGTTAAATGACTACTGGCACACAGCCTGACACTTACCTTAGGATAAGCCCTAGGGAATCAGCAAAGCCCAGAGAAGAGAAAGACATGGCGGGGAGGGAAGTCTTTGATATAATTTTATTTACTTATTTTAAAATTATTAGTGTTATTTTTTATAGAGATGAGCTCTTGCTATGTTGTCCAGGCTGGTCTCGAACTCCTGGCTCAAGCAATCCTTCTGCCTCGGCCTCTCAAAGTACTGGGGTTACAGGCATGAGCCACGACACCCAGCCAGAATTTTATTTTTGATAAAAACAAAAATGATTGGGGGGAAAGTAGGGACTCTGCTGTATTTCTTTATACTTTAAAAAAAATTTACAGTTATTTTTATTTTGAAGCACAGAAGCGTGGGGCCATAATCTTTTCTGGCTCTGGACATCGAGTACGGGTTCAACAGAAGGTAGCTATATTATTGCTACGAGTAGATAAGTTACTGCTAAGTTACTGCTCCTGGTCCCTAGAATGTTCTAGAGCTCAGCATCTATGATGAGGACTCAGTTTCGGAGGATGACGTCTGCTTCAAGGTTCTCTATGACATCTCAGAGGTCCTCCCTGGCAAGCGGCTCCAGAAGACCTTCTCTCAGAGTCCTCAGGTGGGTGGGGATGTCCCCAGGGCCCCCACCTCTTCTGACTCCAGTCTGAGGAAGTCGCTCAGTTTCTCCCACCTGTTGGGATGCCACTGGTTGAACTCATTTACAGAAAAATGTAAACCGCTCCTGGAGACATTTTCTTTTTCTTTTTTTTTTTTTTTGAGCTGGAGTCTCACTCCGTTGCCCAGGCTAGAGTGCAGTGGCACACTCACAGCCACCCCAGCATCGAACTGCTGGGGTCCGACAATCCTTCCCCCTCAGCCTTCCAAGTAATCGGAACTACAAGCGTGCTCTAACATGCCTGGCTAACTTTTTATTTATTGTAAGACGAGGTCTTGCCAAGATGCTGGGGCTGGTCTCGAACCCATGGATTCAGGCAGTCCACTCGCCTCAGCCTCCCAAAGTGCTGGAATTACAGGCTAAGCCACCAAACCCGGCCGATATTTTCATTTTAATAAGAAAGAAGAAGACTTAACTTTACACCTATAGACTGAGTCACCCCATGGAGGAATTTTAGTCATCTGTGGCAGGAAGGTTTTGGGAGATGGAGAACTTTCTAATGTCCCTCAAAACACAACCATCCTTGGGGCAGTTGTGGGCTCCATCATTCCTGTTTGGGGTGCCCAAGGCTTGCTTCGTGAAGGTTTTCTTGACTTTTTTCCTGCTGCAGGCTAGGGGTGGGGAGGCCAGAGTTCAGGGGTCTGGGGTCTACGGTCTGTGCCCTCCTCAGGAGGAAGAAGAAATGGGCCCTTTCCCTCCCCGTGTCTCCTTTGGGTGTGCTCCCTGTCTTCTCCTTCAGCCTTGCCCAGAGTTTTGGGATCCGGAAGGGAGGGAGACATGTTCTCTGCAGATGTACTAGCTGTGGGTAATGTGGGCAGGTAGCCCATCTGGCCCAACACCTCAGTTTTCTCACCCGTAAATCGGAAATAATTGTACTAGTGTGCCTTCTTCCGAGACTGAGAGGATGAAAGAACACCTGTAAGAGAACTGTGTCAACTCTAAAGACATATATAAGTTGATGACTTGCTCGTCCTCTGTGATTTCAGGGGGAGGAAGAGCTGGACATGGAGTTCCTGATGGAAAAAAGGTGAGTAACATCACACACCCCAGGGAGTGTCTTGGGACTCAGACTCCATGTGGGGAAATGGCCCTGACCCAGATCTCTGTGTGATCAGTCCTGGTACGATTGGCTGTCCCTCTTCTCCCCACTTCAGAGAGGCTGGGGCTGGGGCTTCTTTTGGGGAAATGAAGAGAGGAAGGCGGATATTCTTCCCTCCCTCCTGTCTCCCCTTACCTCTTCAGCAGAAGCATCTTGTCCCCCAAACCTCATCCAGAGCTTTGAGAGTCCTCAGCATCACCCAGGGAGACCCCACAAGGGAGGGAGGGGGCAGGGCATTGCAGGAAGCATTTACCTTTGCAAGGACAGACTCTGGATGTTTTATTTTTCCAGGTCGGCAGACCACTCAGAAAACCTCATCACCAATGATGTCCTTGTGGTAATCGCCTTCCCCGGGCTTGAGGGGGAGGAGGGGAACTGCCTGGGGTGCGGACCAGAAGGGACAAAGTTGGGGCAGGGTTTTGTGGTGAGACCACCCTTGGCCTCCCAGCCAGGTGGTCACCTGGGGGTGGGTCTTGGAGAGGCCTGGAGCTAAGGGGCACAAGGAGAGAGGAGTCAGGGTTCTGGCGAGAGGAGGTCCTGGCTGAGGCTGGATGGCTGAGGGACTGCTGGGGGAATTTTAGGTGCTTCCTGATGGTGTTTGGTCACGTGTGATGAACTCAGAGTTCTTGGGGATTGACTCTGAGGTCTTCCTGGAAAGCGGCGAGGAAGTCATGCAGGCTGGATCCACCTTCAGGTTGTTAATGTTGAGATCACTGAGGCTAAGTGGGAGCTTCCGGCGTGATGTGCTTCCGATCTAGGAGATGGGAAAGGCTCAGGGGGTCAATCTGCTCCTCCTTGGACCCAGGGAGCGTCCTCGTCCGCGCTCCTAAAACAAGCTCACGAGGCTGCAGTGGGGAAGAATGGCCACAAGGTGGCGAGCAAGCGACGCATTAGACTCTTTCTGCTCAAAGGGTGGCCCTCAGACCAGCAGCAGCACAGCCTCACGGGGAGCAGGTGGACCAAAGTCCCCTGCGAAGGAACACGGAACACAAAATTTAAGAAAGTGCTTACTCCCAGGGGCATGTGAGTGCCTGTTTGATGGGCTTGTATTACATTAATGTATTACATTAAAATGCAGTCATGCCTCCAGCACTGCCCCTTGGGAGGTGATGGAGACCAGCGGTGGCTGGGTCAATTCCGTGGTTCTGTGAGAGTGGGTGGCGGGCACCCACTGTCATGCTTCACAGAGGGCATGCGGGAGGCCCATTTGGCACGTCAGTGAGGCAGAGGACAGTCAGCAGACGTTCTAGCTGCTGCAGTGGTGAGCGTTTCTCTGATGCCCACTCCATTGCCCTGCCGGCCAGTGGTTTGCTTATGCTACTTGGGAGTCACTGCGGAACACATCTTCCAGGCCGAGGTTGCAGAGAAGCGCAGAGGAGAAAGAGCCATGTCTGGCCGCCAGGAGCTTTCTGAGATTCCAGCAGTTTGGTAAAGCTCAGAAAGCAGGGGCTGGGGTGGAGCCAGGTCTCTCTGGCTGCCCCAGAACAGCAGGTTTAGCAGATGCCGAAGATCAGATATGGCTGAAGGGTGTCTGCATACCGTCCCATTCTGAGCCCCACTTCTTGTTCTGTGCATGGTGGATTTGGGACAGTGGGGCTCAGGGGGTTGAAGTTGAGGGGACCTCAGCTTGCCCTGCAGAGCACCCTAATACCCATGATGTGGTCTGCCCCAGGCCCGAGAGCTGTCATGCCTGGATGTGTGTCTGGACAGCGCAGGGAGCACCGCTGTGGTCAAAGGTGAGATGTGCTCAGAACCAGGCCCAGCCTCTGCCTGAAATGTGAGCGTGTCGAGGGCTGCAGGGAAACCAGCACGGGGCAGGAGTGGGGGAGCAAGACAGAGCTGCCCTCCCCCTTCTTGTCCACACAGCACAGAGGGCCATATATCTCCTCTGGGCAGAAGGGTCCCCTGACCCTAGGGAGATCAGGTAGCAGGAGGTGGGAGTCCCTTGGGTTTGGGGGCTCTGTAAGCTGGGAAGGGCCTTTTTCAGAATCCTGTTTACCATGGTCCAATCTTCCGGACTTCCACCATATCCAGGCAGTGGTGCTGGTTTCCCAAGTTGGAGCTGGGCTTCCGGGCTCCCGTTCTCCTCATGTGGGCCTGCCCACTCTCTCCCTAGATCGAGACAAACTGGAGCTGGAGTTAGTGCTGAAGGGGTCTTACGAGGACACACAGACCTCCGCCCTGGACACAGCCTCTGCCTTCCGCTTCCACTACATGGCGGCCCAAGAGACAGAGCTGAGTGGATGCCTGAGGGTGGGTTTTGGCTCCAAGCTGCTCCCGTCAATCCTGGCCTTTTTTCAGCTCCAGCTGCCGCAGGCCCCTCCCTGGCCTCCCCCTGTGGCCTTGTCAGTCTCCCCCCAGTTAGGCCTTGGCAGACAGGGAGGATCACCGGGGCTGGTTGTCTCATGTCAGGCTTTGGATCGTCCCATGGCTCCTCCACTGAGTCCCTTAGAATGAAACTTGATGTCTGTGCCCACAGGCCCGGTGTGGCCCGGCCCCTGCCCACTTCTGCTGCCTCCTTTTGTTCCACACTCCCCCTCAGGCACGATGCCCCCGCCATGCTTGTCTCCTCTCCATTTTCCAGCACACGCCAAGCGCTTTCCTGTTTTCTGCTGGCTCCTCCCAAGGCTGCCTCTTCTTCCTCCTCCTCCTCCTCCTCCTTTACATCTCAGCTCAAATGGTGCCTCTTCAGAGAAGACCTCCTGGACCTCCCACCTCAAGTATACTCCCCACACCGCCCCCTTCATTTGCATCAGAACCTCTTTCACGTCAAGCTGCTTCTGTCCTTCATGACACTTACTAACATCAGTTCATTGCCTGTCTCTTTATGAACTCGTGCATATGCTATTCAGTGACAGCAAGGACTCTGTACTAGATAGAGGTTAGCTTTTAGGATTTTGTAATTATTAATCACTGTAATTATCACAATTATAATAAGTCTTATAATTATTTTTATATTATCAGGGAGGGCCTGTGTTTGTCTGGATTGCAGGCTCAGATACTCAGTATGGATTTGTTGAATGAACGAATGAATGATTATTTCCCTCCAGAGCTCCACAAGCCATGGCTGGAACTGGGACAACGTAGCTGGGCATCTCACTGTGCCCCTGAGGCCCTTGGCCACGGGGAAGGAGGCGACCATCGATGTTCCTGCTGCAAATGTAAGTGGCCTCCTCTGGATGGGAGAGGCCAATGGGAAGAGGAGGGAGGCCAAGGCCCCAGGGGATACGCACGTGCCTCTCAGGTTCTAGGACAATCCAAGTAAGGGCGCTTGCTTTGATTTCAGGCCCCAGGAGTGAGGCTGAGACTCAAGGCGGAGCACTGGTAAGACACATTCATGTCTGTGGGGGACAGTGAGAGGTGGCTTCGGGCAAGGGGAGTGCTGGGGAAAAGGGTGGTCCTTGGATTTGAGCAAGAGGTTCTATGGCAGCTCGCTGTGAGTTTGGCCAACCCGTGACTGAGCAGTACAGATGCCCCCTGACCCCTGACTTCCACTGCTCCAGCCCAAAGGAGCTGGCTGTACACCTGGGCTTTGAGCCCTGTGCTGAGGAGCAGGCCTTCCTGAGCCGGAGGAAGCAGGTGGTGGCCAAGGCCCTGAAGCAGGCCCTGCAGCTGGACAGAGATCTGCAGGAGGATGAGGTCTGGGGATGCAGTGGATGTGTGCATGGACACCCTGGGCTGGCCTTAAAGGAGTGTCTAATTCCTATGCCTCTCCAGACACCCCAGTCAGCAGAGAACGGAGGGTGGGCATGGGTGGGGAGGTATGGGGAAATGGGCAAGCTCTGGGGTTCTCACTTCCGTGGGGGCCCAGCTCTAGCCCTGACTTTTTCGGGCCCTGACCGCAAGGTCCCTGCCCTGGAGGCAGGGAGGGGGATGGGGCCCCGGAAGGCAGGAGGTCTTCGTCCCTGTCCTTGTGAAGCCAGCCTGTGTCTGTGCATGTTCCAGGTCCCCGTGGTGGGCATCGTGGCCACAGGAGGAGGTGCCCGAGCCATGACCTCGCTCTACGGCCACCTACTGGCCCTGCAGAAGCTGGGCCTCCTGGACTGTGTGACCTACTTCAGTGGCACCTCAGGCTCTACATGGTGAGGGTCCTGGGGACTGCAAAGGCAGAGATGATCAGGGCTGGGGGCGGGGTGGAGTGGACACCAGAGGGACCCTCTGTATGGGGAAACCAAGCAGGCGTGCGTGGTAGGATCTGATGGGTACTGAGTGGCTTTCTCACATGCGGGAAACAGACATTTCCAGAAGTCCCACCATGAGCCTGGAGATGCAGGAAGTTCATTCCGGATGTCACTGAAGCACTGCAAGGTTGCTGGCTCAGGTGATTCAGAGGAGAGGGCTCGAGTCCCGGCAACACCACTCCTGGCTGGGGACCTGGGGCAACTTACCTCCTCTGATTCTCAGGCAACTCATCTCCAAAGGGGGCAATGATAGGACACACGCCACAGGATTGGCAGGGACAACCCGGGTGGAACGCTTCGTGCCCGGAGTTCCTCATCAGCGGCTCTTTTGTCCTTCATTCTTATTACATTTAGTCCTCACCACACTCTTTGAGGTAGTTTCTCTGATTGCCCATATAGGACTGTGTGTATGGGGAAACTGAGGTCAAGAGGTACGATTTTACCTAAAGACAACATTGCCTCCCTGCACCCTCACCCTGCCTAGGATGAGGTGGAATATTTCACTGTTAGAGAGTCGTTCCTTTGAGTCTTCTTGAAGTGTGACTTTCAGGAGTAAAAGAGGAAATTCCTTAGAGGAGTTGAGGGGACAGCTGTTGACGAGCAGAGTCTCAGAGGGCATCAGGACAGGACTGAAGATATGGGTGGGGCCTAGAACAGGACTGTCCAGTAGAGTAGCCACTGGCCACTTGTGGTTATCGACTGCTTGAAATGTGTGCATGGACACCCTGGGCTGGCCTTAAAGGAGTGTCTAATTCCTATGCCTCTCCAGACACCCCAGTCAGCAGAGAAAGGAGAGTGGGCATGGGTGGGGAGGTATGGGGAAATGGGCAAGCTCTGGGGTTCTCACCTCCGTGGGGGCCCAGCTCTAACCCTGTAACACCACACTAAGGTGTTACATATACACGGCGAATTTTGGAGACTTCGTATGAAAAAAAAAATAGATTATGATGTCAATAGCTTTTTCTATTGATTCCCTGTTGAAACCATCATTTTTGGCTATATTGAATTAAAAATACATCATCGGTATTGATTTTTACAGGTTTTTTACTTTCTAATGTGGCTGCTCGATTTAAAATGACATAAGTGGCTCCCATTGTATTAATACCGGACAGCGCTGATCTAGGGGAGTCTTGGCAGGGGCAGCCGCCGGTGGGGAGAAGCTGCCGGTGGGAAGGAGGAATCGCAGTGCCCCCTGCTGGGCCCCAGCCTCCTCCTGTCGTGTGTTCCCAGGACAATGGCCCACCTCTACGGGGACCCTGAGTGGTCGCAGAGGGACCTGGAGGGTCCCATCGGACACGCCCGAGAGCACCTGACCAAGAGCAAGCTGGAGGCCTTCTCCCCAGAGCGCCTGGAGAGCTACCGCCGGGAGCTGGAGCTGCGGGCTGAGCAGGGCCACCCCACCACCTTCGTGGACCTGTGGGCGCTGGTGCTGGAGTCCATGCTGCACGGCCAGGTAGGGCGCCTGCACAAGCGGGGTGGGGGCAAGGGTATGGCACGGGCACCCGAGCGGCTGACACGCGCGTGCGCGTTTCCTGCTGGGTGGGAGAGGCCATGTTTTAGCGTGTGCCCTGCTTTGGAGTGCTGCCTTCTGAGTCAGGCTACCCTTCAATTGATTGCCACGAAACAGAAATTTCTGGATCTCTCAAGAGCTGGGGATCAGTCGAAGTCAGTTAAGCAAACGAAGCTTTTGCGTTGCATAAGTAAGATTGCTAGAACCACTTTTATTAATACTGCAGTATGAAATGTATTGTTCTTCTTCTTTAGGGTAGTGTTAGAAGTACAGACTCTGGAGCCAGGTTCCCTGGGTTCTAATCCCAGAACCTCCTTTTTTTTCTTTTTAGAAAAAATTTCAATAGCTTTGGGGGGTATAAATAGTTTTGGTCTGGGCTTCAGGTGTATCCATCACCCCACCTGTGCACACTATATCTGATAAGGTGATATTTTTTATCCCTCCACTCCTTCCCCCTCCTCCTTTTGAGTCTCCAGTGGCCATTATACTAGTGGTCCCTAAACTTTTTGCATCAGGCACTGGTTTCATGGAAGACAATGGGGAGCATAGCAATGGCGGTGGGGAGGGTGGTGTCTGATGATTCCAGCACATTACATTTATTGTGCACTTTATTTCTATATTATTACATTGTAATATATTATGAAATAATTCTACAACTCACCATGATGCAGAATCAGTGGGAGCCCTGGGCTTGTTTTCCTGCAACTGGATGGTCCCATCTGGGTGATGAGAGACAGTGACACACGAAGTGTGTTGCTTATGTCCAGTCTACTCCATAATCTCGTTTGAGTTGCTGTCACTGCAGAAAACTCTGCTTCACAAAGATAGGATATTGGAAACCAGAGCAGGCTTTTCAGTGCTTTTGTGGCAATCTTAGGATATTTTGCCCTGACTTTTATCCAGAATGTATGGAGTTCTGTGGTTTTTCTCAAACATACTTTTATTTTTATTTTTTTATTTTTTTATTTTTATTTTTTGAGTTGGAGTCTCACTCTGTTGCCCAGACTGGAGTGCAGTGGCCACTCCTGGCCACCACAGCCTCACCTGCTGGGCTCCGGCGATCCTTCCGCCTGAGACTTCCGAGTAGCCGGAATTACAGGTATGCGCTACCACGCCCGGCTGATTTTTTTTGATTTCTTGTAGAGATGAGGTCTCGCTGCCCAGGCGGGTCTCGAACCCGTGGGCTCAGGCAATCCACTCACCTCAGCCTCCCAAAGGCGCGGGATTACAGGCTGAGCCACCGAGCCCGGCCAGACATACTTTTAAAGTCACTGTCATTTGCAACCTCAAGCAGTTGATCCTCTTCTAACATGGACCAAGTCGATTCACCTGACTTATTCACAAGTGGCTCATGGATCCATTCTTTTCTAGTTTTGTGGTTGAGAAGTCATGCTCAAACTCAAAAACTGAGCTAGGTGATCATCCACTAGCTAGGAGAAAGAAGGCCCCAGCTCAATCTCTTTCAAAATCTCTACTAATGCTCGAAACATGTCAAAAATTCCAGTATTCACTTGTCACCCTCATAATTCCAGTTTCGTTTTCAATGTAGCCCCTTGAACATAATTCCAATTTCGTTTTCAATGTAGAGTTTTCTTTCTCTCCTGAAGCGACGGGTTGAATTTGCTGAGCAGGTTGAATACGTCACAAAAGTGAGCAAGTTTTGCAACCCATTCTGTGTCACTGAAAGGTGCTGCCAGTGGTGACTGTTTTTCTAAAGGAAATCTCTGGAGCAGCTCTCACAAACTCTGGCGAGTGATCTACCTTTAGAAAGTCATGTCACTTATGTGTATAAGATAAGATGTGTGTGTTCTGTGTCCATCTCCTCACAGAACTGTGTGGACAGATGTGAGTTAAAGGCATATACTTTAATGTGGTGGATAATTTTAATCACATCCTGCAAAACGTTAAGTTCAGGTGACATTTTCCGGCTGGCCAGCATTTCTGTGTGGATGACACAGTGCATAGACTCACATTCAGAAGTGACCTCTTTGACCTGAGTAGTGAAACCAGAAAGCTGTCTAGTCATGGGAGTCTCTCCATTCCTGCATATACTGACACAAAATGACCAATTCAGTTTTCCTGATATGTCATTATTCAAAGACTTGAATAGTTCTGCAGCTGTAGACTGTTGGTTGGCAACAGTTCAATGTCCAAAAGAGTTTTTCCTAGGTTTTCTTCTAGGATTTTTATGGTTTCAGGTCTCACATTTAAGTCTTTAATCCATCTTGAGTTAATTTTTGTATATGGGGAGAGATAGTAATCAAGTTTCATTTTTCAGCATGTTGCCATCCAATTTTCCCAGCACCATTTGTTGAGTAGAATGTCCTTTCCCCAGTGAATGTTTTTATCTGCCTTGTCAAAGATCAGTTGGTTGCAGGTATTTGGGTTTATTTCTGGATTCTTTTTTCTGTTCCATTGGTCTGTGTGTCTGCTCTTGTACTAGTATCATGCTGTTTTGGTTACTACAGCCTTGAAATTAGGTAAAGCTGATGCCTCCAGCTTTGTTCTTTTTGCTTAGGATTGTGTTGGCTATTCTGGTTCTTTATTGGCTCCATGTGAATTTTAGTTCACACTTGACATTGGTAGTTTGATAGGGATTGTGTTGAATCTGTAGATTACTTTGGGTAATATGGTCATTTTAACAATGTCGTTTCTTCCAATTCATGAACCTGGGATGTTTTTCCATTTGTTTGTGTCCTCTACAATTTATTTCATCAGTGTTTTTTAGTTCTCCTTATAGAGATTGTTCACCTCATTGGCTAAATATATTCCTAGGCATTTTAACTTTTTGGCTGATATTGTAAATGTTATTGAGTTCTTGATTTGATTCTCAGCTTGGTCATTATTGGTGTATAGCAATGCTACTGATTTATGTGTGTTGATTTTGTATCCTGATATTTTACTGAATTCATTTATCAAGTCCAAGAGTCTTTTGGAGGAGCCTTTAGGATTTTCTGGTTATAAGATCATATTGTTGGCATACAGAGATAGTTTAATTTCTTCTTTTCCAATTTGGACCAGTTTGGATACCTTTTATTTCTTTTTCTTGACTGATTGCTCTGGCTAGGACTTGCAGTACCATGTTGAATAAGAGTGGTGAAAGTTAGCATCCTTGCCTCCTTCCAGTTCTGAGGGGGGAGAACCACCCTTGTTTCTCCGGGATAAGACCCACTTGGTCACGATGTGTTATTTTTTGTATGTGCTGTTGAATTCGGTTTGCTAATATTTTATTGAGGATTTTTACATCTATGTTCATAAAGAATATTGGTCTGTCGTTTTCTTTTTTCTTGTTGTATCTTTTCCTGACTGTGATATCAGAATGACACTGGTTTTGTAGAATGAGTTAGGGAGGATTCCCCTCGTCTTCAATCTTGTGGAATGAGTTCAGTAAAATCGGCACAAGTTTTTCTTTGAAGGTCTAGTAGAATTCAGCTGTAAGTCCATGAGGTCTTGGACTTCTTTTATGTCGGGAGACTTCTAATTATTGTTTCAACCACGCTGCTCATTATTGGTCTGTTCAGGTTTCTGTTTCTTCCTGATTCAAGGTTGGGAGTTGTATGTTTCCAAAAATGTATCCATTTCCCCTAGATTCTCTAGTTCGTTTGCATAGAGGTGTTCATAATGGTCTCAGATGATCTCTTGAATTTTTCCATTGTATCAGTTGTAATGTCTCCATTTTCATTTCTTTCTTTCTTTCTTTTTTTTTTTTTTTGAGTTGGAGTCTCACTTCTTCACCCAGGCTGGAGTGCAAGTGGTACGCATGCTCACAGCCACTCCAGTGTCGACCTCCTGGGCTCCAGCGATCCTTCTGCCTCAGCCTTCCAAGTAGCTGGAACTATAGACGTGTGCTACCACACCCGGCTATTTTTTTATTTTACTGTAGAGACAAGGTCTTGCCAAGTTGCCCAGGTTGGTCTCGAACTTGTGGGCTCAGGCAATCCACTCACCTCAGCCTCCCAAAGTGCTAGGATTACAGGCTGAGCTACCGAGCCCAGCCTTCGTTTTCATTTCTGACTGAGCGAATTTGAATCTTCTCTGTTTGTTTCTTAATTAATCTAGCTAGTGGGCTATCAATTTTATTTATCTTTTCAAAGAAGTAATTTTTTGTTTCATTGATACTTTGTCTTTTTTTAATTTCAATTTTATTTACCTCTGTTTTCATCTTCATTATTTCTTTTCTTCTGCTAGCTTTGGGTTTGGTTTGCTCTTGTTTTGCTAATTCCTTAAGGTGTGATGTAGGTTGTCAATATGCGATCTTTCAGTCTTATTAAGGTAGGCCTTAAGTGCTATAAGTATAAAGAATAATGTAATGAATATGCATAATCTCACCAACCAGCCTAAGCAATGAAATGTTACAGATACAATTGAAGCCCCTTGTATATACCCTACCCTAGTCCCATTTTCCTGCTGCCCCTAGAGGTCACCACCATCCTGAATTTAGGTTTACCATCCCATGAATATCTACAATTTTTATACTTTATTCTATTGTATGATTATAACACATAAATACATATATTCTATATTCCTTTATTATATATATTTTATTATACACAAATTTAAAATAGAATATTACTTATGTGTACAATTTGTGCTCACATATTAAAGATTATTCAGCTTCCAAGATTTATTCCCAGCAGTTGAATTGTTGAGTCATTGGGTCCAAGCTCCTTCCACTCTCCTAGCTATTGCCAAATTGTTCTGCAAAGGAGTTGGATTAATTCACACTTCCACTACCTATGGATAATAGTTCCTTTTACTCTACTTCATCTTAAGACTTTAAAAATTTTTTTCATCTGACCAAAACAAATTTGCCTTGAATTTTTTTAAAATATTGAAAGGAAAGTTGATCAGTTTTGCATTTCTTTGATTTTTACTAGGACTGATCACATTTTCAAGTATCTTTATCACCCGAGCTTCCTCTTCCATGTCACCTACTCTATCCTTTTCCACTTGTCTATTTAATTTGTCTTTTTTCTATTGTTTCATAGGAATTCTTTATATATTCTGGATGTGAATCCTTTATCAGTTATAATGATGTTAATGCATAATTGCAATATACTCCAATTTATCATTCTTTTTATGGTTTGTGCATTGGGGAGTTTTACTTTTCCTGATCCCAAATGTAAAATACCTGTATATTTTTACCAACAGTTTTAAAGATTTGTTTCTTACAAATAGGGCTTTAATTCACCTAGAATTTATTTTTTCATGTGTCATATGGATAGGCATCCAATTTTATTCTTTTCTTATATAGGTAGCAAATGTTCCCAATTTCACTTATTGACTTTTTTTCTTCGCTGACCTGCATTGCTGTCATGTGTCAAGTTTCTATTATATATTCATGGGCTCTTCCTGAATGCTCCATTCTGTTCTAAGAGGACAAACTCTCTAACCGCATGCCAATGGTTCACTGACTTAATTACTAGAGTTTTGTGATAAATCCTGGTATTGATCAGGGCATTCACCTCCACCCACCACCTGGATTCTTCTTCAGAATTCTCTTGGCTACACTTGGCCCTCTGCTGTTCTAATCATATGACAGAACCAGCATCAAGTTCTGTGATAAATGTTGTCGATATTTTTGTTGAAATAGCATTGAATTTGTAAAACCAATATAATTACCCATGATATTTTTACTTTATTACTATACCCTCTGTATTCTTTGGATTTACTCTTTAAGTTCATATTCCGTTTTGAAGATTTTTTATCTCTTCATAAAATTTATTTTTTAAAATTTTACTTTTTAATTTTAAAGATATGGGATGCAATTCAGGGTTAGGCACATAAGTGGTCATTGAACAGGTGAAGTTTGGGCTTCCCATTGCTCCTCACTTCACCTGGTTTGGGATAAGGCACCCTTATTGATGTATCCCCCCCCCCCGGCAGTGATCTGCTACTGGCAATCTCTTTTATGTAGTATTATGATAAATGTTCAGGGTCCACTTATGAGTGAGAACTTGTGGCACTCAGTTCTCTGTTTCTGTGATAGATCACTGAGTAGGATCAACTCTAAATCCATCCAAGTTGCTGCAAAGTCCATAATTTTGTCCTTCTTTATGGCTGTGTAATATTCCATCATAGATATGTACCACTTTTTAAAAATCTAGTCCACTTTTGATGGGCAGCACATGGTTCCATGTTTTGCTATTGTGAATAGTGTGCTCAGGTATCTTTTTTGTAGAATGATTTGCATTCTTCCAGGTATATTCCCAGAAGGGGGACTGCTGGGTTGTATGGAAGGTCAAGTTTTTAGAAATTGCCCTACTGTTTTCCACAGAGATTGCACTAGTTTATACTCCCACCACAGTGTAGAAATGTTCCCTTTTCTCTGCATCCTCTCCAGCATCTGGTGTTTTTTGAGTTATTAATGACGGCCATCCTGTCTAGCGTTAGGGGATATGAAAATGTGTTTTAATAACTGACTCTTCTGCTTGGTGGCAGAAATTAGTACAGAATGGGAGACTTGTTTTAACAGTTCACTTTACAAGGTTCTAGAAAATGCAGTTTAGTCCTAGGCTATAAAGAAGACTTTTATTTAATTACTATTTAGTCCTCCAGTAATGACTGAATGCAAGACTTTATGTATAAAGTTTATAGTTATTTTTTATTTTTTGAGTTGGGGCTCACTCTGTCACCCAGGCTGGAGTGCAGTGGTACAATCACAGCTCTCCACAACCTCAACCTCTTGGGCTCAAGTGATCTTCTGCCTTAGTCTCTTGAGTGACTGGGATTACAGGTATGTGCTACCACATCCGGCTAATTTTTTTGATTTTTTTTTGTAGAAATATGGTCTCACTATGTTATACAGGCTTCTCTGGAACTCCTGGCTTCAAACAACTCTCTCATCTCGGCCTCCCAAGTGCTAGGATTGCAGGCTTGAGCCACTGCGCCTGGCTACATACATATTTAATATTGGTTCTGTGTTTATAAGAACCTACTTGTAAAATACACGAGTTATAATCCATGCTTCTCAAACTATCTCTGAAACTTTTTTCTTGAATCTTTTGCCGACAAGCTCTGAACTACTTAGAAGCTACTCACCATTTCCCTAGGAGAAACTCAGAGATTTTCTTTAATCTTTTGCTGAATTAGAAGGAGATCTTACATATTTTCATTCAACTCTGGACAAGAGGTTTTACCCACCCCTTACTCCACCAGGACACTTGACCCATGTGGCCCTAAGTGCCAGCGTTTCCAGTGGAATTCTCGAGGTGTCGGAATGGTGTTCTGCAGTGTTGGGGATACTCATTTGGAAACTGGGGGGCTAGAGACTGAGTTCCTGCCACAGCTTACTACCGATGTGCTCTTAAAGGGTATACTGAGTGCTGCTGTTTCAGTAGATGGAGGGCTATGCTGATCCTTTTACAAAACTTTCCCTAGATCATACATTACGCAGCTGTAGTGAAGGGGTACATTTTCCATCATCATATGTACCAAAAGAACAAACAGGATTCCTAAATAAAAAGACTTTGAGAAGGGAAATTGCAAGTGTTAGTCAAACCTCTTCCACCTCCATCACCTGTACACATTCATGCCTGCAGGACCAGCTTGTAGACATAAGAGCATCTTGAGTGGCAGGGGCTTGAGTTTTATCTGGGGATTTCCTGTGGATTTCTTATAACTCAAGTCATGTTGGGGACCACTGAAGAACAGGGGAAAGATGACTGGGGCTGACACACGAGTGCTCTCGTCAGTGCCAGAAGGGCTGCTGGGGAGGGGGAGATACATGGGTGTGTTGGGGTTTTGCCATGGATGTGAGACAGGACTCCTCCTTGGGCAGGCTGGGCTAGAATTCTTACACCTGGCTGGTTGTCAGAATCACCGGAGGCTTTTTTAAAAGGCAAGTTTCAAACTGTCTTCTGACAGGCTGATTCTCAGTAGGGACCCAGAAATCTGCGTATTCAACATGTCTGTGCGCAACTTGAAGATGAGGGATGATATTGGCAGCTCAAAGCCCCTGAGACTACACATCCTTCCAGCTCCAAGAGCCAAAGGGAGGGGTAACACATTCATAGCACATGTGCTGCGCCATCAGAAACATCCCAGGGCTGACAGCATCAGCCTCAGCTATGACAGCAGAATCCTTCCTAAGGTGATTCTCCCAGGCAGTGCTCCAGGCAGGCACCACCATTGTGGGATGAGCCCTACCAGCAACTCTGACCCTGTGTAGAATGAGATCTCCCCTTGCCCCTGGAACTCAGGGAGGCTCTCTGGAGGCTCCCCAAAAGGCAAGTCACACCCTTGCCATGGGAGACAGAGCTTGGAGTTTTATGGAAGAAAACATCAGGAACAGAAGGCAAAAAGGAATGGTATGACTTCATATTGTGCAAAGCAGGAAAGATAGGGGGTGGTGAGGAGAAGGTAGGGATGTCAGGACAGCATTTGGAAAGGGCTGAAACTTGAAGTGCACTGAGGTGAACCTAGAAGAGGTAGTCCCTATCCTGGCCTAGCTTACCATGTATGCTAAAAGGGGACGGCTGTGACCTTTCTGGAAAGTAGTGCATGTGTGTGCACATGTCAGTGTCCATATCCACTCCATCCCTAAACACATCAAGATGGGGCCCCTGGAAGCACTGCTGACACTGGCGTCCTTGTGAATGACCCTCCCTGGAGATACGTTCTGACCCTGCATTTGGGGCTGACTGCACACACCCACCCATGCCCCCCAAATCCCACTGGAAGTTCTGCCTCCTCACTCCCCACCCAGCCCGGCCTGGTGGGGCTGCTGCCTCCGGGGAGCTCTCCCAACCTCACTTAGACCCTCTTGATCTCTGACCCCAGGTTATGGATCAGAAGCTGTCAGGACAGAGAGCCGCACTGGAGCGGGGCCAGAACCCCCTGCCCCTCTACTTGAGCCTCAGCGTCAAGGAGAACAATCTGGAGACAGTCGACTTTAAGGGTACAGTCCTATTCACTCCACCCTCCAACATACACACTCCCCCAATCCTCTGCGCCCTGAGAGTCCCCAGAGCATGCAAGCAGAAACTCCTGCACAGATTACCCAACCTTCTGGATGAGTGTCTATGGGCTCAGGAGCCAGCCAGGGGAGCTCCCAAATACCCCTGCGGCTGGGGTATTTGAGAATGTGGCACAAGGGCTGGGCGGGAGAATGTGCATTCCTCACATCTGATGCCCAGGAGTGTGCGTTCCTCACATCTGCTGCATTGGTGGCAGGCACAGAGAGGGTGAGGGTAGACTCTTTGGCTTTTGCCAGAGCTGGGGCTCTGCTGGTCCAGCCTCCTCACATTCCTGCCTCTCTTCCCACCCCCCTAGAGTGGGTCGAGTTCTCCCCCTATGAGGTCGGGTTCCTGAAGTACGGGGCCTTTGTCCCTCCTGAGCTCTTCGGCTCTGAGTTCTTCATGGGGCGACTGATGAGGAGGCTCCCCGAGCCCCGGATCTGCTTTCTGGAAGGTGAGGGGCGGTCACTCTGAAGGCCCTGCCCAGGCCCAGGCCAGGCCTCTGCATGGGCAGGACTCCTATATCTTGGGTCTGGGCAGAGCCCCAGGACAAGAGGCAGGGGTGGGCTGTGGGAAGAGTTGTTAAGGGAACAGCCCTCTCCCCACTCCGTTTTCATCAGCAGCACCCATGGGCGGGACCACTGGCTTTTAGATGGTGGGAGGCAGGGTGCTGGGACCTGAGGGCTGACTCTCTTGGGGGTTTGGCCTTCAGCTATCTGGAGCAACATTTTCTCCCTGAACTTGCTGGATGCCTGGTACGACCTCACTAGCTCTGGGGAGGCCTGGAAGCAGCATATCAAGGACAAGATCAGGAACATAGGTGGGAAAGGGGGCGCTGAGAGGGAGCTTGGGTGAGGCTGCTCCCTTCAGACTCTGGTTGGGGGGGTTGGGTGTCTGAGGGGAAGAAGGGCTGGACACTTCCAGGCCCCTCACTGGACCAGTGTCTGTTTCTCTGACTGCAGAGAAGGAGACCCCTGCCTCCTCAAGGATGTCCTCATGGCTGGATCCCTTGTGGCTGCAGCCAGGAACGATGCTGGCCCAGGCATTTAAGGGCTTCCTGACGGGCAGACCACTCCACCAGAGCAGCTCCAACTTCCTCCAGGGCTTGCAGTTGCACCAGGACTACCGCAGCCAGAAGGACTTCTCTACCTGGGCAGGTCAGGGTCATGGCTGTGGGTCTCAGGGAACTGGGTTGGGCTCCTGGCTCGGGACAGGCCGTGTCTGAGGGCTGGCAGAGGCTGTGGGGGTGACAGCATTCAATTCTGTGTGGCCTGGAGAAGATCCCCTCGAGAGGTCTTGGGGAAGGGTGGGGTAGCATGCACATTCAGGGAGTGATCCAGAGGTAAGACAAGGACAGCTTGACGACCTGTGGCAGGGTGGCTCCCTCTGACTGCCATGCCTCTTCCACCAGACTGCCAGCTAGACTCCACTCCTGGCCAGCTGACCCCCCAGGAGCCTCAGCTCTGCCTGGTCGACGCCAGCTACTTCATCAACACCAGCTATCCCTCCATGTTCCGGCCAGGCCGCAGGCTGGACCTCATCCTCTCCTTCGACTATTCCCTGTCATCGCCCTTTGAGGTACCCCTGGTCCCCCACGGGAACCCCTCTGCCCAGCCCGGCCAAGCTCCAGAGGCAAACGGCAGGGCCACTGAGCCACTGCCCCATACTTCCTGGGTCCCCAGGGGGAAGGAGGGGTGACAGGTGCTGTTCCACTGGCCGCTACCAGGGTCTTCAACTGGAATGAGCTTTGGTGGTGCTGGGGCCATGCTCCAAAGAGGAGCAGCGGACAGAACTGAGAAGGGACCCTGGTTTCTCCACCGCCATCCCCCAGACCTCCCCTGGAGACTCAGTGCCGATGTAGGTTCCCGCTGAGGCCCTCTAGGCTCTGGGGCTTGAATAATCCAGCAATAGCAATCCAGGGTGAAGGGAGAGGGGACTGGGTCCAGACCCCACCTGCATTACAGACCCCCAGGATCCTTAGACTCCCTCCGGGTCTCTCCAAGGCACCTGCAGCCTAGCTGGGCCGTTAACAGGACAGAACCAGGTTGTTGTCTTAACATGGAGCCAGCAGCTTGGGCCAAAACCATCCCGGCACTAATCTGGGCTGGCCTGGCTCACTCTGGGCCGCCCTCTCCCTGCCAGGCGCTGCAGCAGACTGAGCTGTACTGCCGGACCCAGGGGCTGCCCTTCCCCCGAGTGGAGCCCAGCCCTCAGGACCAGCGCCAGCCCAGGGAGTGCCACCTCTTCTCGGACCCCGCCTGCCCCGAGGCCCCTGTCCTGCTGCACTTCCCACTGGTCAATGCCTCCTTCAAGGACCACTCAGCCCCTGGTAAGGCAGCCCCTCCCTAACAACCAGGCAGGCTGGCCCCTCAGAGGCTTGCCCTGGGCTTACCTCCAGCCCTAATCCCAGCCACCCAGCAGAGGAAAGAGAGTCTGCCCAGATAAAGTCTTAGGGCAATCCCACCCGGACACCCACCCCAGTCTCCTTGCTGATTGACGCCCAGATCCCCTCAGGGTCCCCTGCTTGCAAGGTCGTTGTGCTGGTGTCCTCTTTGTCATGACCCTGGTTCCTTTGCCTCCCCTTCCTCTACTACCCCCAGCTGCTCCTGGGCTCCTCTGCCCTCCTGCTCTGTGGTGGGAGTGGGGGCTAGAGATCAATGTCCCCTTCACCATACTGATCCCACTTAGGCTGGGGCCCCTTGTCAGGGAGCTGAGCCTCTCCACAGGAGCTTCAAAATCTAAACCCTCATCATTCCTTCCTGTTCTCTTTTCCAACCAACTGGTCTGAGTGTTATCTCCTTATGGTAGGAGAACTTAATTACTCCCAGCCTTCTGGTTCCCACTATAATTCCAGAGCTCCCAGCTTGGCACTTAGCATGCTCAACCCACATCTCTAAAGAATTTTCTCTCTCAGCAAGGACTGGTTCTTGCATCCCCTTGTTTCCACCATGAGCTTAAAGAATCCAGCCACTACCAGGAAATGCAGGACAGGAAACTCTTCATCCCTCCAGATAGTATCCTACTACCCTCATTTCTGTTTCTGGGCAAAGGACACAGCACGGAGGAGAGAGCGATGGCCCCTCCAGTGGGGAGCAACCCTTCCCTGTGGCTGCTGGAGCTTAGTCCTGCCCAGCAGTGGAGGCCTCTCTTTTGACTCATGACCCCCCTCCCACCCCTGGACAGGTGTCCCGCGCAGCCCCGAAGAGCTCCAAGCTGGCCAGGTGGATCTCACTGGAGCCACCTCCCCCTATGCCCTGTTCAACATGACCTACAAGGAGGAAGACTTTGACCGCCTTCTGCGGCTCAGTGACTACAACGTGCGGAACAGCCAGGGCACCATATTGCAGGCCTTGAGGACTGCTCTAAAGCACCGGGCCCCAGAGGCAAGGCCTCCAGGGGTGCAGACCTGAGGCTGCTCAAGGCCTCAGGACCCTAAGGGCCACAGTCTGACCCTCCAGGGGCTGGAGACTGAACCCAGTCTACAGATGGGCACAGTCACAGCCCTCCCTGGCTGGAGTTCCAGGCTCTCCCAGACCTGGGCCACCTCTGTGACTAGTCTCACTGTCCAGAGGGCTCTGCACCCCACCCAGAATTCTCCCTTACAGGCATGGTTGGTTTGAGAGGAGTTGAAAATAAACTCTTCACCAGGCCAGTGTGTAGAACAGCTGGTCCAACCAGACAAACTTTCACACATAATTTCTTTCGTGCCTGAGCAGAATGGATTTGGGAGGTAAGCTAGGGGTGTCAGATCAGGAGTAGGGACAGGAAGGGCAGGGGATGGCCTGACCTGAGAGTTGACTTCAGGCATTGGGAATAATAGTATATCATGAAGACATTCCCTCTTCCTCCTCTTCCTTCTCCTCCTCCTCCTCCTCCTCCTTTCACTATGCAAGCCCTGTACTTGTTTAGTTAAACTTTTTCCTAAGTATTTTATTTTAAAACATGATATTGTAAATGGAATTATGTTCTGAATTTCATTTTCAGATCATTCATTGCTATTTATAGAACTGCAGTTGATTTTTGTGTGTTGACCTTGTACTCTGCAAGCTTGCTGAACTTGTTTATTAGTTCTAATGATTTTTTGTGGACTCCTTAGAATTTTCTATATACAGATCATGCTATCTGCAAATAGAGATGGTTTTACTTCTTTCTTCCTGTACTGAATGCCTCTGATTTCTTTCTCTTCCCTAATTGCCCTGACTAGAACTTCCAGCATAATGTCAAATGGACAGGGCAAGGGCAGATGTCCTTGTCTTGTTCCTGACGACTCTTGCCATTCGATATGATATTAGCTGAGGGTTTTGCTTAGGCATCTTTTATCAGGCTGAGGAAATTCCCTTCTTTTCCTTATTCATTGAGTGTTTTTATCATGAAGGGTGTCACGTTTTGTCGAATGTTTTCCTGTGTCTATGGAAATGATCACATGGTTTTTTCTTGTGTTCTGTTAATTAATTGCATTAATGGATTTTTTTTATATTAAACTATTTGCATTCCTGGGACAGATTCCATTTGATCATAGTGTATAATCTTTTTTGTGAATCACTGGCAAACTTCTTACCTCCCCCACTCAAGGTTATACATAACACACACTCTCACACACACCTGTGGCTGCCCTGGCCCCTGGTGGAGGCCACAGTAGGAGCTTCAGGACAGGCCTTGGCTCGAGAATGCCCTCACCTGATGTCCTCTCTCAGGACCTTTCTTCTCTGTGTCTCTTCTGTCCATGGCTTTCTTTTGATTCTCTGCTTTCTCCATTTGATCACAAACCCTTCTTTTTTTAAGTGAACAATGATGATGATGGCACTTACTGGCTGTTGTGTTATGTATTATGTCCAGCATTATATATTATTTTCCTTAATTCCACAGCTGCCTAATGTGTTAGGTAACATTATTATCTCCATGTTACCAATGATGAAACTCAGGGGTGAGACGGGAGCACAAGCATCCAGTGACTGGGTCTGCTGGGAGCTGCCCTGAAACTGGTTGTCGGGCCCTGGTGTCCTCACGGAGCACCAGCAGCCGAGTCTCTATGCGACTGTGATGGAGCAGAACAGAAACAAGACCACTCAATAATATGACTGAGCATGGATAAGATCGCTGTGAAGCCACAAAATGACCAAACATTGCCATCTCTTGTTTGCACAAGATTTCTGTTTCTTCATCAGTTATGTATCTCTTTTAGTCCCACCCTGTCCTCCCCCAAGAAAAATTATGAAGATACCCAGTCGTAGAATTGCCCCTACTCTCAGATCCCAGACAGATCCCAACTCAGAGCACAACTTTGCTTCCTTGAACATTTTCTAAAATCACCTCACACAAACCCAAACACTACAATAAGCAACCCCCACCTCCCCCACCAACCACTTACTGAGATTCTCTGCGGCTCCCCAGGGGGTGTAGTCTCCTTGGTTGCAGCAAGTACCAATAAACTCACATGTGTTTGACCACTGGGGCGACGGTTGAATTGCCTACTGGGATGTCCCTAGTGGCCTTTGGCAGGTGGGCATTAACAGGGGTTGAGCAACTTGCTCGAGGTCACTCAGCTCAAAAGTAGCAAAGCCAAGACTGGAGCTGGAGGCTGCTGGAATCAAGGCCTTGGCTTCTAACCATGACATCACGCTGCACCTTTGCACGCTGACTTTGTAACATGCCCTGCTTGTAGTGAATCATGAGCTTCATGCGAAGAGAGGTCTAGCCTTGGTAACCCTTGGTTACCAGGAGGTTCTCTCTAGGCCTGGGAATGATCTGTCTCACAGGAGTGTCTGTTTGCTGGGGGGCTTTGGAGGCTAAAGGTCAGTCACCCGGGCTGTATCTGATCAAGCCTCAATAAAATCTCTGGACACTAAAGGCTGGAGCAGACTTTCTCGGTTCACCACGCTCTGCGGGTTTTGTCACACCTTGTGGCTGGGAGGAGGGAACACTCTCAGAAGTCCAGGGAGGGAGGATGCCTAGCTGGAGACTTTCCAATGGGACCCCTCCCAGGTTGTGCCCTGTGCCTCTCTTCCCCAAGCGAAGATTTTAATTCGTATCTTTTTTGCTATAATAAAACTGTAATCATAAATTTAGTGCTTTTCTGAGTTCTGTGAGGTCACGCTAGCAAATTATTGAAGCCAAGAGTGGTTGTAAGCACCCCCCAACCCATAGACAGCTGGTCTGAAGGGAAGGTGACTCTAGGGACTCCTGAACTTGTGGCTGGTGACTAAGGTCAGGGCGGTGTTGTGGGACTGTTCCTCAGACTGTGCAGTTTGGTAACCTCTACCGCAGAGGGGGCCAAAACACCCAGGAAGACATGGCAGTCTGGAGGACTGTGTCTTCAACCTTGGGGGTTGGCCATCTCCGGGCACCAATGCTCTGGAGAGTGAGAGGGATCACAAGTCGAAAAAAGGACTCTTTCCCCCTGGGAAACTTTCAATAAAGTCAGACAGATGGCTGAGGAGGGTTCCACACAGCCCTCACAGCAGACAGGGCCAAGACTCAAGGCCATAAGTGGCACACAGGGGTGAGTGTGTTTGTCTGTCCCATGCCACGCCCCCCCACCCCAATTAGCTGCTGTCACCTCAGGCCCCTTCACTACCCAAGGGCCAGGAGGCCCTGTCAGCCCTACCCTGATCTGGATGAAGACTGTGACTCCGGGCAACTGTCAGGCCGCCACCCAAAAGCTCCCATGTAAATTGCACAAGCTCTTCTAGCAGCCTGTGGGCCCCCTCCCTGGCCAGGCCTAGAGACAACTGGCAGAGGCAGGAAGGCCCAGCGGGTGTCTTGTCACCAGTCCCAGAACAGGGCTGGCACTCTGCCCTTTCCCCAGCTCAGGTTATGGTTAGGGGACAGTGAGTAAAGGATGAACTGAGAGACATCTTTTTCCAGATCAGATTGCATTTATCTCAACAATGCAAGAATGATTTTACATTAGAAAACTTACAAATTTTTAAAACATAAGACCAGATGAGAACAATAATATAAAAGTAATTGCTTGATAAAATTAAACACAAACTCAGACTTTATGAAAAAGCTCTTAATAAATTAGGGTTTTACTTAATCTGATATGGGGTAACTGTGATAATTAATTTTATGCATCAACTTGCCTGGGCCACAGTGTCCAGATAGTTGATCAAACAGTATTCTGAATGTTTCTGTGAAGGGAGATTCACATTTACATTGATGGACTTTGAGTAAAGCAGATTACCGCCTAGAATGTGGGTGGGCCACAACAAATCACTCGAAGGCTTTAATAGAACAAAGACTGATCTCCCTTGAGCTAGAAAAAAATTCTCCCAGCAGACTGTCTTTGGATTCAAACTGCAACTCTTCCTCCAGCCCGTCAGTCTCCAGCCTGCCTGTCAGCCTACCCCACCACACCTTGAACTCATCAAGCGTCCACAATTGTGTGAGCCAGTCTGTGAAAGAGTCTGAGAGACATTATTTTTTTGTTGTTGTTGAGTTGGAGTCTCACTCTGTCGCCAAGACTGGAGTGCAGTGGCCACTCCCGGCCACCACAGCCTCTACCTGCTGGGCTCCAGCGATCCTTCCGCCTCAGCCTTCCAAGTAGCCGGAATTACAGGCATGTGCTACCACACCCGGCTGATTTTTTATTTATTGTAGAGATGAGGTCTCACTACCCAGGCGGGTCTCGAACCTGTGGGCTCAGGCAATCCACTCACCTCAGCCTCCTAAAGGCGCGGGATTACAGGCTGAGCCACCGATCCCGGCTTCTGAGAGACATTTTTAAGGAAAAAAAAATACCCAAATTCCATGACAGATCAGATTCAGGAGCTCAAGGAAGGTGAGGGTCCACAGAGACTCTGAAGGTTGCAACCTTGGAGGCAAGAAGCACAAGACCCTCTAGAAAGACTCCTGGACTTGGCAGAGGGTGTGGTTTGAGAAATTGTCCTATGGTGGGCCACCTCTGAGAAGTCACATTGTCTGGTAAGAGGAATGTGCTCACAGAGGTGGTCTCTGACACTTTTGAGAATAAAAAGGGGAAATCTTCTGGAGGACTGGAGACACGAATGTCGACACGAAGTCCGTCTGCTAGCAGAGTTCTGTAGAGATCAGGCCCAGCTATGGTGTTAAAAGGCTCAGAGGGGCAAGGAAGAGCCCACACAGTCAGAATTCAAGGCTAGATGGGACCCAGGGACTTTTAGCTCATCACACTCAACCACCATTGACCCAGGGGTGTATTGGACACACTATTTGGGGCTGTTTGTGGTTATCACTCTCAGCCCACAAGCTTGAGATCTGACTGACCGTACCCCAGCTCGAAGGGAGGGCTGCACCTCCCTCACCACAGGGGCGGTGTAGGGATAAGCAAGTGACCCAGCACAGTTGACAAGATGCTAGGAGGCTTTAGAGCTGCAAGGGTGGATGTTCGCTCCCATTGCATTTGACCTGGATATTGTGAGGCAGATTTGAC